GACTGCTCATTTGAACTGATAATAAGTGTAATAATCTGATGCTTTTTGTTTAGTGTTGATGCTTGGTGATAATCTGATTCACTTGTCTACTTGTGCCTATTTGATTACTTGTTTAATTTGATGGTTATGTAAGTGTGCTATATGTTATGTGTCAAATTGCTGTTCTGCGTGTCCTATCTTGCATGTGCATTATCAATTCTTCTGACAGTCAGGTTGGAGGTGGTTTGGGATGAAAATTCTTTGGAGATGTTTTTTTACCCTGATCCAGAGGCTGCTAGGTCTGTCATGTAAGCAAATATACTCAGGCTCTTATTTAAAATTGTTTTTGTTTTTCAGCCTTGCAAGTATATTTGTAAGTTTGTATTTTTGTCGACTTATTGCCAAAGGGGATATTGTAAGTGTAAAAATATGTTATACATTAGACCCTATTTTGTTGGCTAAATTAGTTGTCAAATAGAATAGTTTACTTATTCTGGATCAAGGTCAGATCGTGCTCCAGGCAGAAGTTTTCTCCTTCAACATGGGTTCAGTCAAGACCCTATAAATGTGCTGATCTAAATCTAGAAGTGCAACTGCATTTGAGGACTTTACAGCTGCATAATTTCTGCAAGGTGGTTCTTATTTTTACCTCTATAAAATGATACTTTGTAGTATTCTCAAATTGCACAAATTGGAAGGCAATTCGAACCCAACCTTGTCAAACTCCTCCACTGTTGTCTACCTACATTTAGTGTGTTTTGAAGACACCTCTCAACTGAATGATAATGGCTTGCACGATCGGTCCATAGGGATGAAGTAGAGTGATTAGGGGTAGTGTATTAAATACTTTTGTGTGTATTAAACTCTCCCTTGTACTATTGTTGGTTTCATCTAGTGGATTTGGGCTGATGTGAGTGGCTCCGCAGACGTAGGGGTGAGGCTCCGAACTACGTGAACATATCCTGGTGTCTGGTTCCTTCTTAATTCCTTGTTCTTGTTTATTTTAATTATGGATTGAATCCTGACCTAGAACTTGGTGTTGATCCAGATTAGTAGCTTTGGTAGTGTCCTTTATCATAAATAGCTTGCATTCAAGATTCACTCTTTTTCACTGAAAATTGCAAAAATTATACTGAAATTTGTGTAATTGCAAACTACAGAATTAAAAATAATAATAATAATAAATAAAAATTGACCAGTTGCAAAAATTTCAAAATTAAAAAAATAAAATATGAACCTTACATCTTGAACATTCCCAATACCTCCTACCTGGATTCTCATTTGTCTATGATATCTTCAAAACCATTTCTTGCCGACATTGACTTTGTTGAATTGAAATCCATTCCCCATACACGTAGCACATTGTATTCGGAGAACTTGAAGAATTAGAGTTTTCTCCTTTGTATCTTTCCATTCAAACTAACCTTCTAACTTGAGAATTAGAGCTTTCGACTTGTAGATTGTAGATGGGTAGAAGAAGAATTCGTCCGCGCAATGTGGCTGGGAAAGGGAAAGGAACACCAGCGAAAAGCATAAATGAGAAAGAGACAAACTAGAAAGACAAAAATACCCCTGAATCACACAGCCAACTCACGGAAATACTAACGATGGACTAAAATTGGAACACATTAAATAACAGTGGTTGCAATGTGACAAAATTAATTAAGGTGGACTAAAATTAGACACGCCCCTATAACAGTAGGACCAAAAATAGAATTCACTAATTATAATGATAGGTTCACCTAGTTATAAGGTTAGGTGAACTTAGTATTGATGCTCGGTGTAAATTTCACTTGCACCTGTAATACACTTTACATGCACTTGTAATATATTTTACTTGCACTGAGGTATACTATATGAAACTACTGCTTACACTTGTAATACATTTTACTTGCACTTCGATGTTCAATTATTTACGAAAATGTCAACACGTTTTTTTAAAAATCAGTGTTTCTCATCCGTCATATCTGGACACGTGGATGGATGACATGAGTTCTCATTTCTTTCCTGGGCAGGTAGTTTGAACCTGAACGCGCCCCTATATATGTATAAGAACGAATAACAAATGATAGAAAAGATGGAGGAGGATAGGAGTTTAATTTGACTAGGCTCAAGCAACATAACCAAACCGGAAACAAGAATGAGAGTTAAATGACTTGACAACGGATCTCTGGGAGAGGAATTATGCATTTTGTAAGAATAGGGGGTGTAAATTTGTCGTCCAGTGAGAATGGATTTGATAAAGTCTTGGCTAGGCACAAGGGTAGAGACAATTGAATTAAAGCTAAGCAAATATTACGCAGGAGAGTAAGATAATTGGTAACAATGAGAAATTTAATTAAACAATAAAAGATTTTGGTGAGGGAGTATGCAATTCTAAATGCCTATGTCTAAAAGATTGAGTGGAGAAAATACCACAATCGGAGTTCCAAAGGTATCTAAGTCTTTTTTTCAATATATGAACATATATATGTTTATGATAATAGGAAGGTAAAACAGCTCATCCTTTACAATATCTTCCTTCAAGATTATATTAAACTCATCTTTAAGGATAAAACATTTTGCTAAATCAATTCAAATTATATTGTTTATAACACTAATGATTAGTCAAAGTTGGGTCACATACTCGTATGTATGACTTTCACCTAAACACTGCAATTATATTAATGGTAATAAAATTAAAGTCACTCTCCTATGCAAACGACTACCAGTACTTACCCCCTCTTCTTTGGTTACACTTACTTCTACTTAATTACTGTTACTACTTACCACCCTCTCTGTCTCTGAACTAACACCACTGTCCCCTTCCCTGGGGGAGTGTTGTGTTGGGTGGCGGAATTTTTAATCCGTTACTTAATAGGGTTTGATAATGCCCACCCAATGCTAGCTATATATCCAAGTACAAATTAAAATTCACTACTAGAAATTATAGAATTTCCGACTACTTGAAAGTTATCTTAAATCAAGTTAAAAGCAAAAAGTGATCGAAAATAGCAATAAAGGTTTTTCCGGATATCAAAAGTGGTCGGAACAAGACTTTCGACTTGATTTAAGATCACTTTCAGGTGGTCGAAAATTCCATAATTTCTAGCCGTAATTATTACGGGGTGTATAAAATATAAACATCAATTTGAAGCTAAGGTAGTCATCATGTTGATGCGTTGCCGTCCAATATGTACAAAATGTTAGCTTTTTTTTATAAATTTAACTTGTTTGATAAGTGTCTTCCACTCAACCACACCCGGGGTTGAAAATAGTAATAGTGTAACAACAACAATAATACTGAAACATTTCAATACACCAACTCCGGTTTCAATTCAAATAAAATGAAATAAAATAAAATTTAATGAGTATAATCCTTGATAAACTTAATTAGAGTATGTAATATCTTATATAATTTAGTGACATATATATCAAATTTTATATAAATTATTATTGTTGTTGTTGTTGTAGTTACTCTTTAATTAGAATATACATAAAAACAATTTTATAGAAAGCAACATGACACTTCACTAGTAATGACAAAATTCAATCCCACCTTACATGCATGCAACATCGACATATGCTCTCTTTTAGACCAAACCTTATCCACTTGGTGTCTTTAGTTTATGTTTCTTGCATGGGATACTTCCTATTGAGAATTTCTAGGTTGTGTTGGGTTAAAAGTTAAAACATGGGAACAGAATCAAATATCTAATAATAGTAATGAATTTAAGTAGTGAGTTTTTTTTTTTTTTTTTTAATACTCATGATTATTTATAAGGTAGTATATATATGTTTTATAGTTTTCTAAATATTTTGAGTTCAAAAAATTTAATCGTTTGAACTTTATTACATTATAGTATCCGTTCAAACAGATTACTTTCATCTAATGAAGCACGAATCCGCTGAAGTTCGATCTCATGACCTCCCACATGAGAGAGATCACTACATGTCATCTGAGCACAAGGTGATCGCGCGACATTAAAATTTTACATTTAATGTATGGACAATAACCTTTTTTATTTTTAATTTTTTATTCTATTGTTCAAAAGTAAGGAAGCTAAGAAAAAGCATAATAAGTTTTATAATTATCAAAGGATTTGAATCTAATAGTAAAATAACAAAAATAAAAAAATAAATAAACATAATAATTAGTATCAAATAACATAGTAGAGTACAAAAGTCCCCAAACACTATATCACGGTAGATATTATGGTTTTGAATTATTTATATACTTCCATCAAATGTATACATTTTATAGTTTTACGAATATTTATACTTTTATTAAAAAAATATTATCCTTATAAAGAAATGCTTTTCCTAATGTTCATCTACTAAATATGTAGTCTCTTTTCGTCTACTAAATATAGTCTCTCTCTCTCTCTCTCTCTTTTTAATATATGTATATCTACACATATATTGTTAGTTTGGTAACCACTAGATTACAAGTTCGACCTTCTGTGCATTACATTATATTTGAGCCAATTAGCTATGACAATTTAAGCTAAGTTATCTACCCCGCGAGCACCTTTTTTGTGTGTAACAAGGATTTCTATCTTTTTTTTTTTTTATTTATCCCTTGCTAAATTGTAAGCACCTCTAATGAGTGAAACAACTATATTCAGAAGTAATTATCGAACCTTTAATATTTAGTTAATGATGAATGAGTGTCTCCCCGTCAACCGCTACTCAAGTTTAGCCAAGCACATTTTTAAAATAGGGATTTGAATTTTTGGGTAAATGAAAGAAAATTTAAAAAAGAAAAAAAAAAAAAAAACGAAAAAGTGAAGACAGAGAGAGAGAGAGAAAAGGCATGCAAAAATAAAGTTGCATGACTTGAAAAAGAAGTCGTACTACACCTGCGAGGTGTGTGTAAAAGAGGGAGATCTCAGCCGTCAGAATCTGCAGGGTACAGCTACTATCTCATCTACTCTCTCCTTCTCTCCCGACCACTGCACCACCCCAACCCCCAACCCCCAATCTCCCTCTTTAAATCACTCTTCTTTCTCTCTTTCTTTCAGTACCCCGGATTGGTTTTACCTTTACACCAGAGCTCTTCTCCATCTCGATCTTGCAAACTAAACAAAAATATATTCTTCAAAGTCGAAACTCGATCATCCAACACAAAATGCAGGTCGTTAAAGAGTCACCATCGTCCAGGATTAGAATGGAGGCCGTCGGAGAAGGGCTAGCGGCAATCTACGAGAGGGTCCGGTTCCTGGCTTCCGGCAACGCGGTGGTGATCTTCACCCTCAGCGGCTGCTGCATGTGCCACGTCGTGAAGCAGCTCCTCTTCGGCCTCGGCGTCGGCCCCACCATCGTGGAGCTCGACCGTGACGCCGACGGCCGCCAAATCTACGCCCTCCTCCTCAAGCTCGCCGGATCCGTCCCCGGCAGCCAGCCCGTCCCCGCCGTCTTCGTCGGCGGCAAATTCTTGGGCGGGATCGAGACCGTCATGGCTTGTCATATCAACGGCACTCTCGTCCCACTCCTTAAAGACGCCGGAGCTCTCTGGCTGTGAGGCTCTGATCCCAACCCATACATACCCATTCCCATTAACATAGAATATATTATTATTATTATGCATGCTTCTGGGGTGGCCGGCCGGGAGGGAGAATCATATCATGGCGGTTTGAGGGGACAAACACAAACATCAAAATGATCAAAGCTCAGAAGATGTCTTCCATGTTCAGACACTCTTTTACTGTCAGTATAGTACCTATGTAGGAGAATTACTTTTCATTTCTAGCACTAAAATATAATATAATATAGGGCTTTTAATTATATTCAGATGTAATTCTCCCTCTCATGTTAATCAAAACTTCCTTTTCTTTTTTTTTTCTTCAATTTTATTTCATACTGCAATTTTACAATGCATTCTCCTATTCATAATGAATATATGTTTTTTTCTAAATCAATACAAATCACTTAGGGTGCGTTTGGAAACCTACAAATTTGGATTTTCAGTGTTTGGATGTGTCTGAAAAATAAGTTAAAGCAAATCATTTTTCATTAACTTGGAAAAATATGGTTGTTTTGGAGGAAAATGACCCGCCAAACACGGAAAATGAAACTATTTTCACGGAAATGACTCATTTTTCAAAAGTTATTTTCCTAATTTCTAAACACATCTTTAATGAGAGTACTTATACTATGTGGGGAGATTATGCTCAAAGTGGGCAGATTACTTATGCCCACCAGCATTTGGTCTTGTCTGCTCAACCATTTAGCTCTTTTCACATACTTTATCGAACGGGAGCTTAGACCGTTTAAAGCCGAGGATTCAACATTTTGAGAGAAGAGTAATTATATCAAAAATTGTACTTTCTTTAGGATAATTTAATAGATGAACTAGCTACTTTATGCATGGAAAATGAGGGTAAAGTACCTATGAAGTCCCTATACTATAATATTTTGTTCAATTTAGTCATTGTACCTTTATTTTGTTCAATTTAGTCCCTCTATTTTAAAAATTTGTGAAATTAAGGACAATTGTCCAAATATTTCTAGGAACATGGTTGTAATTATTTATTTTGGACATACTAATTTAATATATTGGTGGTAAAAATAATTAATTTTAAATATTTATAAAGTAATATATGAATAGGAATATAAATATCGTCAGCGCCACCCCCGCCACATAACCGAAGTTAACGGTAATATTAACACCGTTAACTATTGTCCTTAATTGTACCACTTTTTAAAGTATAAAGACTCAATTGAAAAAAAAAATGGTATACGGACTAAATTGAACAAAACACTATATCATAGGGACCTCATAAGTACTTTGACATGAAAATGATGATTTCTATTTTGGTGGAATCATGTACAAATGATTGTGTTGTACATAAGATTTTAGCTGGGTTTTTTTTTTCCCAAAAATAAAAATAAGAAAATGGAATTTGTTCATTCTCAAGTGTGAGGTGTAGGTAATATGGTTTTCATTTGATGGGGTACGTTGCTACATAACAAGAGCATTCTTTTCCCCAACTGATAAACAGACAAGAAAGCAAAACAAGCAGACGATTGCTTGGAGTTGAAGTCAAACTTTGGAGATTTGTGGACCTCTGAACTAACTTTTACTATGTTTAATGTGTCTGTCCCTCTCTCCCTCTCTCTGTGGTGTATATAATAAAATAATATGTATTTTTAAAAATATTTAATTATTTAATTCTAGATATTTTTTATGGATTAGATTTTGAAAATAATGAATAATGTCATGCCCCTTGCATGTAAAAAAGGTGTATTTATTGAAGGCACGCTTAATTTATGAACATGTATTCCTTTTAATAATACTTCTCCCATCTTGATCTGAGCATATGTATAATACGGAGTATATATATATATATATATATATATATATATATATATATATATATATATATATACTAAAACGAGTTCAAATCTTATAGATGAAATAAAAAGTATTAAGAGAATAGAAGTTAAGGCTAAAATTGTCAAATTATAATATTGTCTCATACATTAAAATCAATTAAATAAAAAATTATAATAGAAGAACAAAAAAAATGTTAACAAAGTCCTTGAGATTAAATATGGTCAAACAAAAATTCAATAAGAAATGTCATTGATGAGGATATAGCACAGTCTAATTGACCTAATAACTCAGGCAATAGGTCCAATCTATCAGGCCTAGCAATTAGCGTTTTGGAGTAATGTACTGTTCTTAACAAGTTTTGGTCGAGATTTACCTCCTTCGTGAATTTTGGAACAGCTTCATAAGACTTAGGAATTTAGAGGGGTTAGCGAACAGAGCTTTCAGTAAACTATCGTGTTTGTGTTTGGTAAGCGTTCGTTTACGTTCACTTATTAAGTTAAAATGACTTAAATAATGAACAAATTTTAAAGCTCGGTTCATATACGAACAGAGTTTGAACAGTTGTAGGCTCGTAAACAAGCTTGTTTGTGTTCGTTTAATAATGTTAATGAACACTTCAAAAATCTTAACAAACAAATACGAACAACCTTCATTTATTCATGTTGGATTCGCTAACCGCCCTACCTAGGATATGATATTCTCTAGTGAATTCGAAAGCCCGGGTTATTTAAAAAAAAAAAAAAATGAAGTAAAAGAAGAAGAAGAAATTAGTTGTGTTTTTTGTTTTATTAAGGGGAGAGAATGAGGGTCGGTCAAGAGGTGACGCAGAAGCAGGACGAGCATGAAGCAGCAATGCAAAAAAAAAAAAAACCAATTCTGATTTCTGAATGCTGATGCCATGCTAACAGACCATGCTTATACTCACCTTTCACCTTTTTGGACTAATCCCAAACCATATCTATTTGACTCGCATCTCATCTATTTATTAACTTCCGCCCGACTTTTAAGATTAATCTCGGTTATTCAATTCTTTTTCTTTTTCTTTTTTCATTTTCTATTGTCAACTCAAAACACAACTGCTTTTCCGACCTGTTTCAGTGTTTTGTCTTCCAAGTTTCAAACAATCTTCTTATATTTCCAAAACATAAAAAACAAAAATCAATATAACGTTCTTATTAATTTAACAACCTATAAATTAATTAATTCAAATATTGGAATTTGAGTATCTATGTTTTGTCCAGCTTTTGTCTAGGTCTGCCTTCTCTTTTTCTGCTTTTGTTCGAATTGCATATAGCTGTTCTGTTTCAAAGAATATCAGTTATCTTTTTTTTTTTTAATCAATTATTATATATACATAATAAGGTAGAACATATCTCTCCCTCGCTCCATGTGTGACTACTATGGGTATATATGTCCTAAGATAATAGGCAAAATCTTGTGCCAGACGAATCCACTTTGATAAAAATATAATACTTATATTAAAAAATATAATAATAATTAGGAATAAAGTGTTTGTTACATTTCTGTATTGGCCCAACTCATCTCACAAATAAAGATTCATCAAGGCCGGCCCTGAGGACGGGCGAGATGGAGTAGTTATGCTGTGCATCCGTATGCACCATGATGCATGGTGCATATACGGATGCAAAAACGATGTCGTTTTATTAAAAACACGCATCTCTCCTTAAAAAAAAATTCAGGTTCGATTCCCAGCAACAACATTATGTTGTTCATTCATTCTGGAATTTTAGTTCATAGATTATGGAATTTTAGTTCATTGATTCTGGAATTATAGTTCATCGATTCTGGAATTGTAGTTCATCGATTCTGAAATTTCAGTTCATAGATTTTGGAATTTTAGTTCATTCATTCTGGAATTTTTAGTTCATAGATTAGATTCTGGAATTTTAGTTCATAGATTCTGGAATTATAGTTCATCGATTATGAAATTTTAGTTCATATGTTGTTGCTGGGAATCGAACCTGAATTTTTTTTAAGGGAGACGCGCGTTTTTAATAAAACGACGTCGTTTTTGCATCCGTATGCAGTATGCACCATGCATGGTGCATACGGATGCACGGCATAATTTGCCGGCGAGATGGGCACTTGCCCCGAGCCTTAACGTTGGGAGAGGCCCACTAGTTGGTTTTTTTTTTTTTTTTTTTTTTTTTTTTTTGAAATGAAGTTAAAAAGAATGTTTGCATCTGTAAAGATTTAAATCCATGATTTTAAAATTATTTATTAATTTTAAATTTACTTATCAAAGTTTATATATATATATATATATATATATATATATATATATATATATATATATATTAGCGAACATTGAATTAATATATAATTACACTTCATAAAAATTCAAATTATCATTTAATTATTTTTAATTAACCCATACAATTTTTTAACTTCATATATTAAATGCCATTGTTTTTATTTTGCCTCGTTCTTATAAAATGATAGGACCGACTCTAGGATTCATGTGACAGTCTCATAAGAGAACCACTCTCAATAACTTAATTCTAATCATGATTATTTGTGAAATAATCATAAATAATAATTACTCCGTAATTAGTTAAAATTATATATATATATATATATATATATATATATATATATATATTGCACACACTAAATCTAATCTAGACAATTAGATGGATGCACACGATTTGTTCTCACGTTCTCACCTAAGCAAGTGGTCTCATATGATCCTATATATATACATATATACATATATATATATATGATTATTTCTGGTTTTTTTTTTTGTTGGGTTGTCGTTTTCAATATGATTCAGACGATGTCTAAGTGATGAGGGTACAATTATACAAGGTACCAGACAAGAATCCATAAATGAGAGCACAACAACTGCATGTTTATGTATTATGTTTGTTTTATATGGAAACCAGAAATGAACTACACGTAAAAATTATAGTCCGTAGTTGGATTATTTGACTCAAAAATTTTTAATTAGGTCTCAAAACAATTTTAAATTGTGTGATTACTTCGTAAGTGACATGTACTTCTGATTTTAGACAAATGTGAATATGTGATAGTTAACTTTTTAAAAATAATTTTTAATCTGTTTTAATAATTTTAAGTAAAATAATATAATATAAAAAACCAACCGCCTCTTCATCTCAATGCATTCTTTGTCTCCCGTTGGGTGTTGGAGACAAAGAATCAGTCGGGGGAGGGTTGGGTTTTCCATTTTTTTTAAAAAAATTATTTTATTTAAATAATTATTAAAATAAATTTAAATTTAAATGACACATGAATATCAAATATATATATATATATATATATATATATATATATATATATATAAAAGTTATATAATGGATCGAGGTGCATGTTGTTATTATATTCCTATTTCTTTTCTCTTATTTTTTTTTAGTACTACTAACTCTATTATAATGTAGTATCTGTTCATAATAAATTTTAAATAAATAAAAAGTCAATTATGTCAGAACATTTGT